AGGAATGCCAACCCCAGGGCCCGCCTGGTCCCTGGGAAGCTGAGCAGTGCGGGGGATGGAGAAGCGTGGGGTGCACCCTGCACCACCTCAACCCCCCAGCAAGGTGCCCTGCCAGCTCTGGAGGACTGTGTGGGGGTGGCTGCGGTCGGGGGCTTCTGGAGAGGACCTGTATCCCCTGGTGGGAGCAGGCAGTGGGATGAGGGGTGTTGGTGAGGCTGGGCGGGGTGCGGCTCAGGGTGCACCCCCCTTGCAGGAGCAGCGTGTCCCCATCAGGGCAGTGCCCATCCTCTGCCCACGGGTCTCCGGCAGGTCCACCCTGATGGAGGGACCTAGTGCAGGGTGGGATGTGCCTGCGGGGTGCAGGCAGCAGGCTCTGCCCGGTGGGAGGTGGCTGGTGCCACAGTGAGGGCTCCATCCTGCCCCACTCAGGGCAGAGGGCTGGTGGCAGCAGCACCTGATGCGCACCGCTGTCTCCAGGTCCAGACCACCACCATGTGCGTCTCAGTGAGCCTCAGCGGCACCGTGGTCCTTGGCTGCCTCTTCACCCCCAAGCTCCGCCTCATACTCTTCCAACCCCAGAAGAACGTGGCCAGCCACCGCGTGGGCACCGCTCGGTTCAGCGTGGCAGGCGCCAGCTCCAGCCAGTCCCACGGTGAGTGCAGGGGGGCTGGGGAAGGGCTGGGGGGCAGCACCCCCTTCCTGGCAGGGAGCTGGGGGCACCCCAGCACGGGCCCCTGAAGGAAACAGGGGTGCAGGGTAGGGCACAGCTGGGAACAGGGGGATAGAGGCTGCTGTGTCCCCTATGGCTCAGCCCTGGCTGTGTCCCAATCCCCCATCTCCCCCCATCTCATGTGGCTGCGAGCCCCAAGGCTGCAGCATGGTCTGCTGGGGGGGGACCGCTCCTGGGGGCCCATCCTCACCCTGGGGGGACACGGCCACCCTGGGCACCCTCCACCCCAGCCCTGGGGGACAGAGCACCCTGGGCACCCATTGCCCACCACAGTGGGATGCCCTGGGCGGGGTGGTGCTGCCGGACCCCAGCCTGCCCCTGACTGCTGCCCTCCCGGCCAGGCTCGGCCTCACAGTACGTGCCCACGGTGTGCAATGGCCGTGAGGTGGTGGACTCCACGACGTCGTCCTTGTGAAGGACGGGGAGGCCAGGTGGTGGTGGTGCTGCTTGGGGGCCCGTCCTCACCCTGGGGGGACACGGCCATCCTTGTGAAGGACGGGGAGGCCAGGTGGTGGTGGTGCTGCTCCTGCCCGCGGCCGCACTGCACCCCGGCTCCCTCCCCAGGGAGAGCAGCGCCCGCGGCACCGCCCGCTCAGGGGCCAGAGGCAGGCGGGAGGCTCGGCCCCCGCCCCAGCACGAGCTACGCGTCCCATGCGCTGGGTCATGGTACGTTGTCACCCTTCCTTTGCACTGAGCCACGTTACACATCCCTTGTCCCCTGCCCTGAGCCCTGGTGCACTACCCCCTGTCCCCGCACCCAGCCGTGGCGAACATCCCCAGTCCTTTGCACTGAGCCGTGGCGCACGACCCTGTTGTCACCTGCACCGAGCCATGGCGCATGTCCCCCCGTCTCTTGCGCTGAGCCGTGGTGCACGTCCCCTGCGTCACCTGCACTGAGCCGTTCTGCGCATTCCCCCATCCCCTGCGCTGGGCCCTGGTACGTGTCCCCCTGTCCCTTGCCCCAAGCCACGGTCCAGGTCCCTGTCCCTTGCACTGAGCTGAGGTGCACATCATCCCCTCCATCCCCTGCCCCGAGCCACGGTGAATGTGCCCCCCGTCCCTTGCACTGAGCCGCAGCGCACAGACCCCGGCCCTTGAACTGCGCCGTGGTGCACGTTCCCCACCCCTGCACCAGCTGTGGTGCAAGCCCCTTGCCCCAAGCCGCCGTGCACAACCCGACTCCACACCAAGTCACGCCTCGCTTGCGCCGAGCCACGCCGAGCCCTGCCCCAGCACCCACTGCCCTCGCCCTATCGCCCACCCCCATTTCCTGGGGTGGGGCCTTTCATGTCCCCCCTGTGCCAAGCCGTGTCCCACGTCCCCCCTCCCTGGGCCAGCAGAGGACCCCCCCGCCCCAGGCCCTTTGCACGTTTTCACCTTTTCCTCCTCCTTTTCGGCCCCGGCAAAGCCGCCAAGCGCTGCCAGGCTGGGGCCAAGCCCCCTCCGTCCCCCCGCTCGCTCTGCATGGTGCTTCTCACCCCTTCGTGGGAGACAGGGCAGAGGAGCGGGGCTCAACGCCCGCTGCCCCCCCGGCCCCTGCAGAGCCCGGGGGGTCGGGCGGGGGCTGAGGGCAACTAACAGGACCCAGGTATTTGAGCCCAACCAAGTTTTTAAGAGTAGATTTTTTCCGTGCGCAAGAGCGTGATTTTTTTTTTTTTTGTAATTTATGTAAATAAAGTGGTTTTGGTTTGGTTTGGTGTTTTTTTTTTAAAATGGACTCTTCCAGAGCTCATGTCCATCTGAACCTGAGGGAAGGGGGCAGACCCTCGCAGAGGGCAGAGCCACAGCACGATATGGGGGCCAGCAGGGGCGGGGGGCCATGTG